GAAGATAAGTTGAGATTTCTTTGGTTCAAAAGTTGTGTCCACTGTTTGTTACATTTGTGGCTTTGGTGCAGTCAGTTAAATACCATAAAAAAACAAAACACACTAATTTGAGTGAGTGGTGCTGTGAACTGGCACCACTCAAATTTCTCTGTGGTTATTGGGGGTTCTCTTCGGGTCTGCTGGTTCAGCTATCTGCGCAGAGCTGGGGCAGCACACAGAGGGAACACACGCACGCAGCCGAGTGATATCAACATAGGAGAAAGCAGAACACCACACCGGTAGCATCTGACAACACTGGTGACCCCGACGTGATATGGCACAGATAGCTGACCCAGAAGACCCGAAGAGAACCCCCAATAACCACAGAGTCTAGTAAGATGCAAAGTCACATTGACTAGGTTTATTGCGACCTTGGACACAATTGCAGTTCTCTGTAGGTTTCTTAGCCTAACTCAGGGCATACTACGAGAAAGTGCCTCTTGGCAATGGACCCGGCTCAGTGGCGGGACTTTCCACTGCCCCCGTGGCCGGACAAAGACACCACCCCAGGGATACATTCTTATACACAGGTACAAACAAGTTACACATCACTCCTGACGTACTGAGGTGCAACCCCTCTACGCAGCAAGGTACAACCCCACTACGTAGTAAGGTGTCGCCTCTCACCTTGTACAGATTGGTTCGATCAAAACAACTCCATCCATCATTTTACCCTTTTGCCCCTGTCATTGGGATGGGTCGGCCTGTTCCTTGTTATCTGTGGAATGTTCCAGTACAGTGTGTTTTGGTACCATGTTTGTACTTTAACTTTGCTAGGTGAATATATTTATGAAACATTAGCCCTTTTCCTGCCAGCTTCTGTGAACTGAGCCGGCCTTCAGCTCACAACCTGACTTTGCTCCTTAGCCAAGTCTTGACCATTACTTTAGTTCAGGCCTTAGGCCTCATACTGGGCCTTTATTAGGGCCTTCACTTACTACACTCCCCACGTGTGGCCAGGCAGCCATAGAACACAAAGTTCTTGAGGTCATGCAGGAGCTGCTGCTGCTCGGAACTGCACCTGGACAAAATGTGAGGCCAGCACCAGCAGAGATGAGTGCAGGTGGCAATACATGGAGATGGGGCAGCTCGGCTGCCCCTTTGCTAAATTTGAGTGGCATTGTGACCCTGTGAGTGCATGGTATTGCAACCTGTCACACGGGGTCGCAATGCCACTCAAATTTGTGGCAATTATAAAAAGTTTTGGCAAGTGCTGAAAGTTGCGGTGAGTGTTAAAAGTTGTGATTTCTAAAATCACAGCCTGCAATTCTTATAGCCTTAGTACTGACCAACTTGGAAAGTGTGCAGTATTAAGATGACATCTGTTACTTTGTTTTACTTTTGTGTTAATGCATTTTTACAACCAAGTCGTCCCAGTGGATACTTCTGAGTTGGAAGGGATGTGTTTTCTTGAAATTTGGATATAGTGGTGCAAATTTCCTGACTTTACTGGGAATTGCACTTGCTGTATGTAAAATGTATAGGGGACGATTCTGTTACAGCAGTGCAAATACAGAAGAACATCGGAACATAAACCTGATGGGAGAGCAGAATCAGGCCCAGGAACTGCAACTCATCTCTTTAAAACAAAAGCAAAAAAACATCCCTCGCCCTCCCACAAACAAATGGGGACACCAGAATGCTTAATTTACATTGGAGGTGTTACATTAGAAAACCATTTGTTTACCCCACAGATATTAACGTTACTGGGTATTCTGCATCAATTGTTTTTAAAAGTTATTGTTTTCAAAAACTATTTATTTATGTATGGTTGCTTTTAATAATGACCTGTTGGAGTAAATTAAATGCATTTAAAACCATTTAATTAGATCATTAACTTTTAGTTTAGATTTCTTGTTAATATCTAACGCATCATATGGTGGTTAATATGCGTAGCAACTACTTCATTACAGGGTGTCCTTTAATGTCTTGGAAAAACCTAACCCATTTTGCCTGCTTTATGGCTAGAGATTTGAAATGATGAAGTAATAAGTAATGAAAATACATAAAATAGAAATAATGTTGTACTCTCAGACCTCATAATAGGTACTGATCTAAATATATTCCTATGGAAATAATTTAGTTAAAAAAGAGTTAAAATTGAAAGTGTGTTTTAATAGTCTCTAGCTAATTTCCCCTCCCCCCTCCAAATATTATACTTTCTCTACAAAAAACTTGTACACATCTAAAAAACTCTCAAATGTTGAAAAGTCCGGAAATGCACAGTGAAGGTACCCAGCCAGTTCCCACTGCCGTATAACTTATCAGATAATGTTTATAAAAGTTTGAAAGTAATTTTAAGCATTGGTCTTTATACAAACAAAATCAGCTCTCTATGAGTGTGGCTGGGGCACAGCAGCAGAAAATATGAAAAGTATCCAACTCTTTGAGCCTATGTTGCTGAACTAGAGGGCATACAAACATTTGGATTGTTTTTCAAAGGCAGGCTGGGTGTATTAAAGGGCTATGTCATGTGAAACACCCAAAGCAGTGGAGTTGAATAACCACTGCATAATTTTTAGATACGCCAAAAGTGCAGATGGTTTTAAAGGTACACCTAACAGCCCTGCCACTGAGAATTGTAAGTCCTTGTGAGCCATATGGTAAAATTAATAGAAAATCAGTAGTAAGGTTGGCTAAAGAACCACATCACCACGAAACAGGAACTTTCCTTTCACATTCAATGTAAACAGGAACCTTAGAATCATAGAATATCAGGGTTGGAAGGGACCTCAGGAGGTCATCTAGTCCAACCCCCTGCTCAAAGCAGGACCTAATCCCAACTAAATCATCCCAGCCAGGGCTTTGTCAAGCCTGACCTTAGAAACCTCTAAGGAAGGAGATTCCACCACCTCCCTAGGTAACCCATTCCAGTGCTTCACCACCCTCCTAGTGAAAAAGTTTTTCCTAATATCCAACCTAAACCTCCCCCACTGCAACTTGAGACCATTACTCCTTGTTCTGTCATCTGCCACCACTGAGAACAGTCTAGATCCATCCTATTTGGAACCCCCTTTCAGGTGGTTGAAAGCAGCTATCAAATCCCCCCTCATTCTTCTCTTCTGCAGACTAAACAATCCCAGTTCCCTCAGCCTCTCCTCATAACTCATGTGCTCCAGACCCCTAATCATTTTTGTTGCCCTCCGTTGGACTCTTTCCAATTTTTAAACGCAGATATCACACACACAAACCACTCCTGGTGGTGGGAGGGGAACAGGAGAAAGGACAACAGAAGTAAGAGATGAAGAGAAAGGAAGAAAGGTGGGA